TAGAGATAATTGAGACTTTCATGTTTGATTAAATGTAAGCTTTATAGGGTCTCTCCATGAGAATATATAGGATACTGATTTTGGCTAAAAAGTGTTCTTTAGAAATCCGATGCACTCTGAAACGACACTGCTTATCGAAATCACTTCTTTTGCATACCATCTACCGAACTAGAATTGATTTTTTTCTGGATGCTTCACATCAGAGATGGACGAGTCAGCAAAAAAGTCGCACCGTCACCGCCTCGTCCCGCCCCGTTGATAACGTTCCGCACCGCTCCGCCTGTTCAGCATTGAAACCGTCACCGCCCCGCCCCGTCCAAAATATGTTTTCAAAAACTATTTCTTGAAAAATTTTTCATTAAATTTTCATAATGGCTATTTCATTTCATGAGATGAAGAATCATATTTTAAATGCATAAACATCGTTCCGAAATAGAAAAAAATAAACATATGAAAATGAAAGGCAATTATAATACAATCACTCATTTTGTGGAACTCACGTATATTTTCGAAGAAAATAGTGATTGTAAGTTTTAAGTTCGAGGTTTGGCGACTTTTCCCCTTCTTCCATCCATTACAGACACCCCGCCCAGGGTTGCCAGATCTTCCGATACGGCAGGAAAAATTCCGATTTTTTGAAAGTTTCTCCACCGACTTTCCGATGTTCCGATTTTTCCCGATTTTAACATATTTTTTCCGATTGCCTTCAGATTTCCTAATTTTCCTTCGGTTTTCGAAGTCTTGTTTGTGAATTCAAGTTCTTAGGACATTCCAGAATAATTTAACCATGACGCGATACCACACATATATTGCGATCTATTTCACCATAATTATCGGGTAGTGAAGCGTCATGAACTCAACAAACCACACTGCAGTGATGTGAAAGCATATTCTCCAATAAAACTATGATGCTTTACAGACAATTAAGATCCAGTTTTCTACCACGATGAACTAACTTTCTCTGTGCGTTTTCTATACTGATAATTAAGAATATTTTCGTTCTTGAGCTTTTTTTGTTTCATCACAGGTATAATAAAACTAATCATAATCATATGGGTACTAATTTAGCAGTTGCAGAATTGAAAATCGGAATGAATTCTGTTTATACTTGTGGACATTTTTATGATTATCTGTTACCTCAACCTGATATCTTGAAGAGTATTCGAGCTAATCAAAAGTATGAACAAAAACGAACATTATACAGAATAAGTCGTAGTTTCTTTTGCACAAGTTTTGTGAAATGCATGTGTGTGTGAATTTACAATGCTGATTCTATTGTTTCGTCAAGTTGGTTATAGCATTTTTTATAAAAATAATGTGATCCTGTTCAAATGACTTATGTAGATTTCTTAATCATGAGTAAATTGTGTAATCGATATTTTCTTTCATTCTTTATGAAATATCATTTCCGATATTGCTTCGAAAAGATGAACAGAAGCAAGATAAAGGATATTGAAGCTATCGAAAATATATAGACTACTTATTTAAGCATGGAAAAATACTTTCTGATTTTCTTCCGATTTCGAGAACAAAAATTCCGATATTTTCCCGATTTTGAGAAAAATTTTTCTGATTTTTTAATTTTCGATCTAGCAACCCTGACCCCTACCATGACAGACCTCAGCAACAGCTCATAACAGGCTCTAGTTTTTATATAATATAACAATGATTTCATACCTATTCGGAAAAAGGTATTTTACAACTTAAAAATTAGGCATCTGGATAAAAAATTAAAAAAATATATGTGAGTTCCACGTTTTAGCTCCTCTGGAGCTGCGCTAACAAGTTTTTTTTACTGATTAG